AAAAAAAAAAAAAAAATTAAAATGTTATCTATGCTATTTGGTTCTCATGAGTAATCTAAATTATTAAAATGAGTAAATAAGTAAATATAAATGAAACCAGCTGGGCGTGGTTGTGCATGCCAGTAATCCCAGCACTCAGGAGGCTGAGGCAGAAGGATTGGGTTGAGTTTGAAGCCAGCCTGGGTTACATAATGAGTTCAAGACCAGCCTGGACTACTTAACAAGGCCTTGTCTCCAAAAACTAGGGGGAAAAGAAAAAAATAAATATAAATATATATATTTTTTTTAATAGAGGTTAGTCTCCTAAATGTGTTCTCATAAATTACTACATATATAAAAAGATTTGAAGTTTAATAAGTTATATTTCTAATATTTAATTCCATATTTAAACAATACTAGTAAAATCTTCCAGGAGGTGCAGGGGGACCTGAGAACTACCAAGCTCCCCTCTGTGGCTGAAAAAGCAGCCACCTGAACTAATGTATTTCAGTTCTCTCCACTGATGGATGGCTTCTCATTTTCTTGAGTCTTATTGTCCCCCACCTCCACAAATACTAGTTTAAAATTTATATACCCATACATATAATCTGCTATAATTAAAATGTTAGAGAATTTTCTATGTATAATAAGGGTTTTTTAAATATTAAAATGCTCGTTAAACTTACAAAAACTACATTAGCCAGCCAGGCAAGGTAGTACACACCTGCAATCCCAGCACTAAGGATGTTGAAGTACGAAGATCACCAAGAGTTCAAGGCCTACCTGGGCTACTCAGTGAGTTCAAGGCCAGTCTGAACTACATGGTGAGACCCTGTCTCAAAAGAAAAAAAAAATGTAACTTTCACCTCTAGAATGTAAAGATTTCTATATAGTTGTGAAGCTAATTTTTGGAAACCTCTTGGTATATTAAATATATTTATTTGTATTCCCCAAGTGTACAAACCTTCTAAAATACAAACTTAGTCCAACCAAGATATATCATGTAAAGGTACAAGAACCCAATGATAAACATAACTGTTCTGTTTGCTTTAAATGTACCAATAAACTTAATTGAAAAAAACAAAAACCAGTGCAAACGTTATGGCACACACTTGTTAATTCCAGCACCTGGGAAGCTGAGGCAGGCAGGGATTACCTGGAGTTTGAGGCCAGCCTGGGTTACATAGTGCGTTCAAAGCCAGCCTGAATCACGTCATGAGACTCGGGTCTCAAAAAAGAAAATTTAAAAATTTAGAACACCTTATCACACTGGTGTCAAGCAAAATTGTTTATAATGACAGACATTTTTAGGCTTATGTTTATGTGATTGTTATATAATTATATTATGATAGGTGTGCCCTAAACACTCTACAGTCCAGACAAGTCGTAGTACGCCGAGTCCCAATACTAATGCTGGCCACGATTAACAGAATAGCTGTTCTCTGGTCACTTTCTTTTTCAAAGTGCCCAATGTCCAGATAAAATTATAATAGTTAAGATTAAAACATACTGCTCCCAGGGCAGGGGATTTAGCTCAGTGGTTCTGCCACCCGCCTCACAAGCACAAGGACCCAAGCTTGATCCCCGGTACCAAAAAAACATACTGCTCCCAGCTGAGGATTTAGCTAAGTGGTTCCACTGCCTGCCTCTCAAGCGCAAGGACCCAAGTTCAATCCCCAGTACCAAAAGAAACAGAAAAACTACTGCTCCCACTTCAATAGTGGTATAACTGATCTTCTGAGTGTTCAACATTAAAGGCTCAGAGATAAAAGCTAAAACTGATGACTGGGCTATGACGACCAACATTTTGACCCTTTCCCTCCCGGGTGAGCCAAAACCCAGGTCATGCTGGGACACTTCTGAAAAAATTCTACAACTCCAGGGAATCATCCAACCTCCCAAGCAAAGAGAATGTTTCTGTGGACAAGAGTCAAACAATGTCCACTGAAAGAGGGTTTAAGAGGAAACCTATGATTCCAAGAAAGATACACGGTCAAGCAAGACCATTACCTAGGCTGGCAAATGACACAGCTGGTAAGAGAGGAAAACTAGGAGAGCTAAGAGGCTCTGCATGAGGGCCCCCACTGTAACCCCAGAGGAGCCTTAACCAATATTAATATAGATGATGCCAGGAAAGGTGGTACACGCCTGTAATCCCAGCACTCGGGAGGCTGAGGCAGGAGGATCACTGCAAATTCAAGGCCAGCCTAGATTACATACTTCAAGGACAGCCACAACTACACTATGAGACGCTATCTCAAAAAAATCAAAAAATATATTTTTTTAAATACATATTTATATAGATGAATAGATTTTGAGAGCAGGAAACCTGATCCTAAGATAAATAAGCTGTGAGAAATCAAAGAATGCTCAAATTACCCACCTTTTAAAAAAATGTGTAATAGCTAATAAACAATAGGAAACTGTTCAAAAGGGAAATTGAAAAGGGATGCGACTGCATAAACCCTTCAGTGGCCCTCAGTTCAGTTTTTACAAAAAAATCTTTTGGCTGCATTACTATGGTACACCATTTTCTACCATAAACCCTAATTGAACCTCTATTTTTAAGCCCACTCCAAGATTCAGCATCAAAAATATCCCAACATGGGTCGGGGATTTAGCTCAGTGGCTCTGCTGCCCACCTCACAAGCATTAAGGTCCAGAGTCCGATCCCTGATACCAAAAAAGAAAAAAATCCCAACAGGGCTGGGGAAGTAGCTCAGTGGTAGGGCATTTGCCTCGAGGCCATGGGTTCAATCCCAGTGCCACAAAAAAATAGTAATGTATGCCTCTCAGGGACCCAAGCATCAGATCCAACTTGGCTGCGTGTTTTACATATATCCCTAGCACTATATTATTTTAGTATGTTAACTATGCATTATTTTTATAGTACTAGGGACTGAAGCTGAGGCCTTCATACTGAGCTGTAAGTCTAGGCCTCCTCTCCTTTTTGAAAACAATTTTTTTTTGGTACCAGGAATCAAACTCAGGACCTTGTGCTTGCAAGGCAGGAGGCAGCACCACTAAGATAAATCCCCAGCTTTTATGAAAAATTTTTAAGAAAAAGTCTCATTACACTAACTTGCTAAATTACCCAGGCTGGTTTCATACTTGCAATCTTCCTGTCTCAGTCTTCCAGAGTACTAGATTACACCAAGCCATTAGTTTTTGAGAAAGATACTGGGAGTTAGGGGACCAAAGTAAAATGTAAAAATAAATTTTGCAACTCACTGGTTTTAAGGAATAAGTCCTACCTGTTTTTAATTACTTCTTCTAGGTTGCTACCTTATCCTCCAAACCAAAATGAGCTACTAAAAATTATTTCCTAATTTTAAAAAAAGTCTCATTTTTCCTTTTCCCAGAGACCACTCTCTAAGACATCCCCCCAAAAAAACCACTCTTAAATACAAACATGCAATCAATTCAGGCAACTCTTCTACATTTTCAGGTTTTAACATTTAATAGAAACTATGTACAATAAATTTTTACTGTATTTTACATAAGACAGACACCGCAGAGATTCACATAGATTAGAATGTAGATGGTTAAGGAGGGCCCAGTCCTGTGGGTTATTTTCTCAGAGACCAAAAGTTAGAGTTCAGTTGGAGAAAAGGTTCAGACTGCCAGATTAAGTGGATGTTAAGAGAAACTAAAATGCAGGCCCTTTGGGTAGATAAGCAAATACTGGGACCATCTACGTGGTTTCTTGCCTGTGACTTAGGAAACACCATTCCAAAGATGTTTTTCCCATTAGGCAGTCTCAAACATTCAATCTCGGCGGTAAGGACAACCCCTCCTCCTCCTTGCCCAGAGTGGGAAGAAACCCACAACTTTTGGACACTACTGACCCTTCTCCCCAGACTTAGCTTTTATTTGACTATATAGCACTCTCTAACCCAGAAGGAAAAACAAGGCAAATTGCCCCATTTAAGAGATGATTAGAGACACTTGTTTGAAGAACAGGAAATTCAAATCCACCAAATCAAATAGTTCTAGAATAAACTGTCAACTGATAGAAGTGGGTTCTCGTTTTCCATTTGCAGTAGCCAATCCACTCTGAGGCAATGGCACACAGACTTTCTCAGAATTTCGAGATCCCTGGGATCTGCACCCATCTCCAGCCATTTGTACCTGGCCCTGTGAAAAGAAGTAAACACACTTTGGTGAGAAATTCATTGTGATCTGAAGCATGAATTTGACTTACCAAGCCTATCTATGGTACCAACAAGATGACACAAGTAACTATGGATAGCTGTTCCTCAAAATACTTAGCTATCCTATCACTTTGAATAAGAAGCCATTATTGACAGCATCCCCAAGGCTCTCCCAAAGGGAGAAAGAAGGGTGAGTTGTTTCTTCCAAATGCAAGAGTCATTCTCCACTGAGGTTCCAGAGCAGCCAACAAACCATAGGAAGATATTCCTGTAGGTCTCTGCTTGAAACCAACAGCTATAGCATAAACTGCTCGTCTTCAGTCAGGGCCATCAGTATCCCACCTACCATATTACTGGGCTTTAATCTAGAACAAGAACAATTCCAGTAAAGAATTCTTAAATGGTACAATTTACCTAGAGCCTTCCTCTCAATCTTTCATTTAAACAAATATGTCCTGTGCTAATGTGAGGTACTATAAGGCCCATCTAGAGAACTGGAGAAGGGTATTTCCCCCTCTTCCCCCCACAGTGGTAGGAAATGATGCAGGGCTCACACTGTTAAGCATGCACTTTACCACTGAGCTACACCTAGCTGGAAAGGGCATTTAAAAAAAAAAAAAAAAAAAACTTTTCTTATATACCACTCTGTGAATGAAAGCCAGCTCAGTTATCTTTATATTCTACTAGTGGTGACAACCCCACTCCCCAAAGTACATGCTAGCCAGTAGGAAACCCTCTGCCCGGCAGGGTTGCTATATGAAGGAAGCCTAGATGGGGTTACTCTTCACTTGCCAATATATCCACTGAGCCTTCAACAATTTCTTTCAATGAATGATCTTCAAGGGTTAGTGAAGGATCAAAAAGCAAGGGTGAAGGAGGGCACTGCATACCATCACCCACAACATCCAAGTCCTATGAAAGAAAGAAAAATTTGATGAGCAATACAAAGGGAATTAAGTTAAAGCTGGAATATATTTCAGCAAGCCTCACAGCAATACTCAGGTCTCTCCTTTACTCTTTGCCTACCAGAACACTCAAAAATGAAACAAAATCCAAAAGCACTGAGAATCTTTCTTTGCCACCAACCATAAAGCAGACAGCAGCTGGGTTGTGATGACTCACACCTGTAAGCCCAGACCTCAGGAGGCTAAGGCAGGAGGATCAAGTTCAAAGTTAAAGGCCAGCCTGAAATAATTAGCAAGACCCTCTCATAAAAAAATTTTTTTTAGTAAAAGGTGAAAGATTTACACAATCTGAAGAGAAACCAGAGTACTAAAAACCAGAGAAGGACTCAACCAAAAAAGAAAACAAGATGCCAACCTCTCTAACAAACATAGACACAAAATTCCTCGAGAAGATACTGGCGGGACTCGGGTTTTAGCTCAGTGGTTCCAGCGCCTGTCTCATAAGCGCAAGGATCCAAGCTGGATCCCCAGTACCCTCCCCGCAAAAAAAGAAGATACTGACTGGCAAACAGAACGCAGCAAATCTTTAAGATACACACCATAACCAAATAGGGATGCAGGGATAGTTCAACATATGCAAATCAATAAATGTAACATACCCTATCAAAAGAGCCAAAGACAAAAATCACATGATAATCTCAATAAATGCATAAAAAGCATTTAACAAAGTCCAATACCTATTCATGATAAAAAAAAAAACCTACAGAAAATTGGAATAGATGGTCTTTATCTCAACCTGATAAAAAAAATCTACGACAAAACAGCCAAAATCATACTAAATGGAAAAAGAGCCAAAAGCTTTCACTTTAAAATCAGGAATAAGACAAGAAAGGATGGCCGCCATCACCACTCTTACTCAGTATAGTTCTGGAAACATTAGCCAGAGCACTGGATAAAGAAGATGTGGCTTTTCTATAAAATGGAGTACTACTCCACCATAAAGAATGAGAAACTAGAGTCATTCATAGGAAAATGCGTGCATTTTAAGGCCATAATCGTAAGTGAAATAAATAGGACACATGTGTAAATACCAAATAGTTTCTCTGGTGCGAAAAACCAAAAGTGTAAATAAGATCCAAATTGTATAACTGATAATGTGAAATAAGAAGACAAGGGCTAAAGGTGTAGGGGAAGTGGAAAGGGTAGGGGAAAGGAAATAAGGGAAAAGAAAAAAATAAGAAAAGGAAAAAAATGGAAACAAAGTCTTTGTAAATAGGGGAGGGGGAAGGGGTATGGGGAAAAAAATGAGAACAGATCTGTCATATAAAGGTACAGGATCCCAATGATAAATGTGACTGCACTGTATACTTAAAAAGTATCAATAAACTCAATGAGAAAAAAATAAATAAACACAAACAAACATTAGCCAAAAAGGAAAAAAATATGAGAAAATGTAAAAATGCAATTAAAGTGTTTGAAGTTGGGGAGGGGAGGAGGGGGTGAAGGGAGGGTGGGGACAAGGGGAAAAAATGAGAACCAAGACCTGGCATGTAAAGGTACAAGATCCCAGTAATGAATGTAACTGTACTGTATACCTAGAATGTACCAATAAATTCAATTAAAAAAAAATTAGCCAGGGCAATTAGATAAGAGAAAGAAATAAAAGGAATAAGGATGGAAGAACTTAAATTATCATTATTTGCAAATGACATGATACTTTCCATAGAAGATGGCAAAAACTCCACCGAAGACAGTATAGCTGGACACAAAGTCAACACTCAGAAATCAGTAGCATTCCTGTACACAAATAACAAACTCACTGACAAAGAAATTAGGAAAACATCTTTCACAATAGCATCAAAAAAAAACAAAAATTCTTAGGAATCAATCTTTTAACAAAGCAAAAAGATCTTTACATTAAAAATTAACAGTACTCTGAAAAAGGAGATTGAAGAGAATATAAGAAAATGGAAACATCCCGTTCTTGAGTAGGAAGAACCAATACAGTGAAAATGGCCATACTTCCAAAATTGTTACACATGGCCGGGCGTGGTGGCACAAACCTGTAATCCCAGCACTCAGGAAGCTGAGGCAGGGAGGATCACTGTGAGTTCGGGACCAGCCTGGACTACACAGTAAATTCCAGGTCAGTCTCAACTACATAGTAAGACTGTCTCAAAAACCAAAAAAAAAAAATTGTTATACAGATTTAAGGCAATCCAATCACAATACCATTAATACCTCATAAACTAGGAAAAACATTCCTAAAATTCATTTGGAACCAGAAGAGATCCAATATAGCAAAAGCAATTCTGAGCAACAAAGGCAAGGCAGGGAGCATCACAATCCTTGACTGAAATTACACTATAAACCTACTGTGATAAAAACAGCATGGTACTGGCAAAAAAAATCACACCTGAGGATCAACGGAACAGATTAGAAGATGCTGAAACAACTGCAAACACTCAACCACCTTCTCTTTGACAAAGGGCTAAACATGTTCACTGCAAGAAAGATAGCCTCCCGAATCAATGGTGCTAGAAAAACTGGCTTCCTACATGTCAGACTAGACCCATGCTCCTTACCATGGACTAAGCAAAATCAAAATGGATCAAAGATCCCAATAACAAAACAGAATCACTAAATCTTCTAGAAGATAAAATAGGTAGAACCCTTTAGGGCATAGGTGTAGGCAAGACTTCATGAACAAAACCCCGATGGCATGGGAAATACTACAAAGAATCAACAACTGGCATCTCATCTTATTAAAAAGCTTTGCACAGGAAGAAAAAAAAAAAAAAAGCAACAGAGTGAAAACACAACCCACAATGTGGGAAAAAATTTTACCCAGCTGTTCCTCAAAGGACTAAGATCTAGAACATTAAAAAAACAAAATGAAAAAAGCAGACTCCCCCTCCCCCATTTTAAAGACCCAATCCAAAAATGGGCATCTGAGATGAATATACACTTCACAGATAAAGAAGTCCAAACGAGGGCCAAGGATTTAGCTCAACAGAACAGCACCTGCCTGGCAAGTGGGAGATCCTGAGTTCAACCTCCAGTACCCCAAAAAAAAGTACAAACAGCAAAAAAATATATGAAAAAACATTCAATATTACTGGTCATTTGAGAGATGCAAATTAAAACAACACTGAGATTCCATCTCACTTCTGAAAGAATGGCCATTATCAAGAAATCAACAAATGGGAAGTCATCCCAATACACACATTTTGGATTTAAAAAAAAAAAGAAATCAACAAACAAATGCTGGTGGGACTGTGAGAAATAAAGAACCCTTCTCCACTCTTGGTGGGAGTGTAGAACCACTGTGGAAATCAGTGTGGAGATTCCTCAAAAAGCTAAAACTAGAGGTTCTATTTGACTCACCTATTCCCCTTCTGGGTATCTCCCCAAAAGAATTAAAAGCATCATACCACAGCAATACATGCACACCCATGTTTACAGCAGCACAGTTTGTAACAGCAGAATGAATCTTGGAAACAATCCCAATGTTCATGAATCGATCAATGGATAAAGATAAAGAAGTAGGTTTTTCTATACAATGGAGTACTACTCAGCGAAGCCATAAAGAAGGATATATTTGACACATTTCTAGCTACCTAGTTGCATTTTGAGACCATACTTAAGTGAAATAAATCAAACACACATATGTAAAATACATTATCTCTTTGATGTGAGAAAGTGTAAATAAGGACCAAAATGAATAAATATTGTAGAATAGGAAGAAACTGTTCAAAATAATACCAAGTGTCAGATACTTCAATAATTAAAATGTTTTATGTGAAAAAGTAATCGTTTTCTTAGATGAGTTGAGAGACATTAGCAATTGAAAATATATTCTTTTAAGGTTTGATTGTTAAAAAATCTAAAACTACCAGATGAGAATTGCCCCAAGTTTAATACCTGTCTGGGCTATACAGTGAGTTCAAGGCCTTCCTTGAACTACCCAGCAAGACTCTGTCTCTAAAAATAGTTAACAGTTGGAGCTCAGTGGCTCCTCAGCCTGCCTTGAAAGCACAAGGACCTGAGTTCAATCCCTGGTACCAAAAAAATATATATATATATAGTTAACAGATTACAAAAACAGAATCTGTTTTGCTCTTATCTCACAATCCATACACATAAATGTAGTAATAAGATTAGAATACTATGCTACTTCCTTCCAGTCATCTTTGTATGAAAGCACAGAATACATAATGTGCAGAATGAAAAGTACTTTTAACCCATCATTGATATATGATGCCTGGTCTTCCTACAAATTACAAGTTATTACTAACAAATTATAAAAACTGTAACAAAAATAAAATGTACATGATGCACTAAGACTGCTTTATGGGGCTGGGATTTTAGCTCAGTGCTGCCACCACCTGCCTCGCAAGCACAAGGCCCCAAATTTAATCCCTGGTACCAGAAAATTAAAAATAAAATAAAACTAGCATGGTGGCCAGGGATGTAGCTCAGTGGTATGCATAGTACAATACTATGCAGTAGTGGTATTGCATAGTATGCATGAGGTTCTGGGTTCAACCGTCAACACCACCAAAGGAAAATCACCTCAGTAAGGCAAAAACTTGCTAGGTGTGGTGGTAATGCCTATAATCCCAGAACTCTGGAGACTCGAGGCAGGACCCTGCAAATTCAAGGCCATCCTAGGGTTACAAGTTCAAGGCCAACCTGGACTACATTGACAGACCTTGTCTCAAAAAGAACTACCCACCGCCAAAATTGCAAAACTTATAAAAAGTAAAAAAAGCCTGGGCATATAGCTTGCTGCAAAGGCCCTGGGTGCAATCAGCAGTACCACAAAAAATATATACACACATATATACACACACATACACCTCTATTATAAGTAATGAAAATCCAAGGCTTGGTAAGCCTATATAAAGAGTTTCATCACTTTTGATTTTCTGTTGTTTTTGAGGCAAGATCATGTTATATTGCCCAAACTGGTCAACTCCTAAATTCAAGTGATCCTCCTGCCTCAGCCTATCAAGTACTTGGGACCCAGGTGTTTTCAAGGGATGTGCTACCATACCCCGCTATTATCAGTTGTTTTTTTTTTAAGGGGTAATGGTTAGAATCAATTTATTCTCAATACCACTTTGTCTTCAGTTTATTCTGTCCTGGTGTTTTGTTTTGCTTTTTGTTTTGAGACAGTCTCACTATGTAGTTTAGGCTGGACTTGAACGCACTGTATAGCCCAAGATGGCCTTAAACTTTCGGCAATCTTCTTGTCTCAGCCTCCCAAGTGCTGGGATTGCAGGTCATGTGCCACCATACCCAGCTTGGTGCACTTTTCTTCGTGAGAGATCACTGTGGTCACCCAAACCCTGTTACTTACTTACCTTTAGCAACCTTGCAATATATACTGAAATTTTCATTTAGATCTGTGACTTAAACACATGGGAATGTGCAAAAAACATTTCTATAAAATCTAAAAACTTTAAGCTGGGCGTGGTGGTGCACACCTGTAATCCCAGGACTCGGGAGGCTGAGGCAGGAGGATCCCTGTGAGTTCAAAACCAGTCTGGGCTACACAGTGAGTTCCAGGTCAGTCTCAAAAAAACAAAAAAAAAAAAAAAAAAAAAA